TATATATATAAACAAAACGCTGAGGATGAATTGATTCTCAGTGAAAAACCCTAAGCATTTGCGCTAAAAAATAATTCGCTTTGGATGTTGTCGTACATTTGTTTGCATCAAGCCACTCTGGAGCTCGCGCTTTTCAGCGCTCAATAATGACTGGTGCAGTACGGTAATAAGCATTGTATTACTCAGNTAAGAAACGTTGTGAATAAACTAATGAAAAGTTCAAATAATAAGGAAATCTCGTTAGATCTGTTTCAATCTTAGTGGGTTGTGTTAATAATTCTGGACAAGGATTAGACAACTTTACCCGGGCTATAACGCTTTTTCTAACCGAATCTGACATTTAGTCATAATTATAAATACGAGTCTAAAAGGCATTCTTAATATGGGGATTACTGGGAACTATAATTAATAATATTAGTAATAATAATAAAAGGAAATTAATGATTATCACAGCACAACTGGTTCTAATGCGGAGTTGATACTAGTTTGTCATAAAGCTCCCACTTTTTCACAGTTCAGTTACTTTTAAACACGTTATTTATTAATGTTGGTTATGAAGATAGTCAAAGATTGCTGTGGACAACATGTTTTATAGGTGAAAGTTGCATGATGGAATAAGCTTTTCTCGGGAGAATGGGTAAATTTGATTCATTCAACGTTTTTGTATGCCGAAATTTCTAATTTAATAAAACGTATGAGTGAAAGCCTACAATTTATCATAAATGAATCTCTAATAACTGTATTCTTATTCCGAAATACAGGTTGTTTATCGGCATCGAGAATATTCAGTTCAAATTTGTCACAATCAGTTAAAGCTCCAATTCATTACAAGGCACTGTTTTCATTAGAGACTGCAACCTTGTGAACAGGTAAAATCACTTTTCTCAAACATTTTCCCAGTGTGGAGAGCAATTTCATGCTTATACATTGACGATATAAAGCTAAAAAAACACTCATTGATGTCTCTTCTCATCGCCTCGTTTGTTGAACTGTTTATTTTCTGGTCTCAAGTTGACCATAGTAACCGCACCACAAAGTGTGTCGAAGCTTGTTTTGGAGACAAGACAAAACAGCAGATGGAAAACATAACTGATACCCTGTTGATAACGGAAGTTAGCTGAGCAAAAATCTTGCGTGACTGTTCAAATCTTCTCCGGTCCTAACCACATTCCGTGTTCGGATGTACTCCGTTCAAAACACCTTTGGGAAATTACACCAACTCAGCTGCTAGCCAGTTCCCTGACCCTGACCGCTAGTTCCCATTGGTTAATTCGGTGTTTATGTCTGCGTGAGAAATTAGCCTATCCACCATATACGTTAGTGCATTGCTCTGTGTGTGTGCATATGTTCGGAATGTATGTGTGCGTTCACTCTTCCGTGACAACTTGGATGGAGTTCATTACAGTGATAGCTTTTGTTACCTTTGTCGGAACTTCAAAACGTTACTTTATTTTTCCTATAGATCACATGTGTTTTGGAGCAAAACAATGTTTCAAATGGATTCATCAGACCAGCCGGAGTTATGTGTTCTCACTTAGAATCAACCCGTGAAATAATATATTCCTCTGCGTTTACATCTCACTTATGTGAGATGGGCTACCCAACAGAAAGATTTCCCGCTCCAGTTGACGAGAATCTCATATGTAGTATTTGTCATGGCGTTTTCGCTTATCCGGTGGTAACCAACTGTGGGCACACATTTTGTTTTGCATGTCTGGACGAATGGTTAAGAAGTCCAAGTTGCCAGGATTGTAATGAAAGGTCATATGAAGAGGAAGACGATCAATCGCAAAGTCTGAATCAGCAGTGCCCGGCTTGTCGGCATTTGCTGGAAGATTCACTTCATCTACCACATTGTATCACAGAAGGCTATTCGAGTTCAATCACTGTAGCCAGACCGGTACTGGCCTTGCGCAACCTCATCGGCTCAATGCCTATGGCCTGCGCTTACGCCCACCGAGGATGCAAGTCAGTAAAACCGGTGGAATTAATGGAAACCGGGGTTCACGAATCCACGTGTGCATTTGCACCACGCACCTGTGTGGAATGTGGTACGGTTGTGAATCAGGCGGATCTGGAAAATCACAAGCTTATTTGCACAAAAGATAATGTAAGTAAATTGGACGGAGAATCATGTTTCCTCGTTGGCCAATTTTACCTGCGCAGATAGGAGGTTTTAAAACTGTAACGTAGTGTTAAATTTTCATGATTTATGTTAGCAGCATCTTTGAAAATGAACGTACCAATGTGAGTTTGTATGATATTAATTTAAAGTGTTCAAACTATGAGGCACGATCAAAATGTAGGTTTGAACTGATTTGGAATAACTTCAACATACACAGCATACCGGACGATCGAAACCAGATCAAACAATGAAGTTAGGTCATCAGGCCGCTCACCGACCACTTAAAGAATTTTCAAAAATGGTTAGTTTTTAACTTATCGTATTCTATTCTCAATCAAGTTTCGTAATTTGCTTATTCCCTTAACTGCGTCTTTCAGTATTTGAGTTCTCCGAATATTTATATTTTATCAGATATTTTGCTAGACTGTTGCATTGTTTCATACATCCAATTCCTTTTAGGAATTTCATAAGAGCAAGAACAAGCATCGTCACAGGACAGGTTGAATTCAACTTCAATTCACGTTATCTCTTCAGCTGTGTACAACCATTCATGCGAAAGTTCGATCAGGACAATGACAAATCTTTAAACATCAAAAACACTCGACTAGGTAAAATCAGTGCTAAAGTCAAAGGTCATCAATCACAGTCGGGTTGAACAGAGAGTGGGAGAACATGTTCATCGACCTGGATCAAGGTGACAGCCTTACCATTGGAGGGTTAGGCTGACCACAATGTCTAATTGTTTGCAGAGGTCTGGTTTGTGACGCCGAATGGCTACGGCTTCAGCAAGCTGTAATAACCACCCCGTTTTCTGTTTGTTTAACATCCGGAATGCTTGCTTTGGATCGATGCAAAATTTGCAGTCCAATATATAACGGGTAATAGAGCTGGAGAGGATCTTTGAGCCGTTGAGAGCTAAAGTTCTCGGAACGTGTCCTGAAATCCGAGTGGCCAAGCGTCTCTCAGTTCTTCCGATATAATTTCTACCTCAAGTGTATTGAAATAAGTAACTACACGACAAGGTAACTTGGGAGTTTAGCTTGTCCAAGTTGAATTCAGTGATTATTCATGTGCTTTTATGGAGAATAATAAGAGAAGCGGCGTTGTACGTTCTTGAGAGAGTTTGTTTCAGTCCCACCCTATCCCTCTGTTCAACCCAACTGTGATTGATAACCTTTGACTTTAGCACTGATTTTGCCTAGTCGAGTGTTTTTGATGTTTAAAGATTTGTCATTGTCCTGATCGAACTTTCACATGAATGTTTGTACACAGCTGAAGAGATAACGTGAATTGAAGTTGAATTCAACCTGTCCTGTGACGATACTTGTTCTTGTTCCATTGTTATTGCCTTCTCCAAGTCCGATTCTCACTGGTTTAGCCAATCACATACTATCGCAACTTGGGAGAATGGATGAATGAAAATAATCTCTGTTATAACGTATTATTTGAGCAATCGCGTCGGATTCTCGCAGACCTAATAGAATCGATCAATTTCCCGTAGCCTTGATGACACTCTCGATAGACCCAGTTATGGTAGTAATACGGTTTCGCAAACCTGCTTAGAAGGATTTTGTTACTTTTTTGTGCAAATTTGCTGGATGCTTTGCAATAAACGAAGCCATTCTCATAGGAAAATTACTTTTTGAAAACTCTCAGGAAATGAATAATTTTGTCCCGCTGTTAAACACTTTCATCAGAATATATTTCTGAAGTCAACTTCGTTTTAGAATATCCTTTCAAGAACCATGAAAGACGCAGACATATTGTGATTCAATAATGTTCACAAATTTAAGCAGAGGATGAGCTCCATTTATATCATCATCGTGTGCTCCGCATAGCAAATATCTCACCCTTTTGTAGTTCAAAGCCAGGAGGGTAAAGCGAGGCAGTTTGCAAAAATAACACTTTATATTGCGAATAGTTCCGCTCGGTCGATGGGTCTAATCTGAAAGCTTTGTATAACTTCATTCTGATTGCATCGGGGCTAGACAAACCCGTGCTTGTAATCCAACATCCGTTTTCTAGAGTGAATATCGACTTTTTGCAGAGCTGTGTTTCATTGTCAAGCGCAGAAGCTATCTGTTCTGTGATGCTTCAATTGTTCTCAGTACTAAAAATCACATCATGAAACAAAAGTTTTATTCGGGTAGGATTTTCTAAACCCTGAATAGAGAGAGCATTTGAAATCAATATGCGAATTTGAATACATCGTGGAGTGCAAATTGAAAGTTCTGGTTTCGTTATATTTAATTCCTCACTGTTTTTGAAAGATCATTGAGTCCAGTAACTAAAAAAGATCAACAACCATAGATAATAAAATCAATTTTTCCAACGGCTTCCGATTCCCATAGTTCTTAATGTCAACAACCAAATCACGCCGAAAAACCCGACCCCCCTACTCTTGGTATGCATTCACTCATCTGGCCGCATTTGTGTATAAAACTGATTCGCGTTACTTAATAGTAGTCTTCAGTTGACTGCGACCATTTGTCCTTGAAGTTTTATCAGGCGAAAATTGAGTGTTGCTGTCAGGTTTGGTTTTCTGGTTCCCAGGACTAACACAACTTGTTTTATTTCCCTCGATGGCAGAATTGTTCCGTCCTGATTTTAAACAATGGTCAAACGCGGCATTGTTGAGAACATTCAGCGGAACTTCTGTATAATCTGTATAATCCGTATTGGGAAACTCGAAGAACATTGGTGTTTAAAAGTAAAAAATACAATAGAATTTAGCTGTCATTTTTGTCACTTTATCTCTGAAGGAAATATCGAGAACTGGTTTGTCGAAATCGGTACAGAAAGTGAGGATGAAGTAATAGAGAACCCAAGCTGCTGGAATCTGGATGATTTGACTTGTTTAGAGTTTACTTTGAAGTTAAGTTTGTAAAACACGTTTTTATCTTGATTCAAATGGATCCACCATTAAGCATGTCTTCCCATCTGTCCAACTCTTTAAATATAGCACAAAGATATATGAAGAATATGTAAATGCACACTAAGGAGTAAACAAGTCAACTGGGCACAGTTGTGGCTACTGGTAGTGAGCAGAGAAATAGGGAACAAGCAGTTGAACAGTCTGGTGTCTGAATCTTTGGCAAATGCTAAAGTCCATGGCAACGTTTTCACTACCAAATCAACAACAGTGAACCTTTCGTTGAGACGCTTTCATGCAAATAGGTCTGAGATTGCATTGAAAATGTTTGAACCTCAAATCCACTCTCAAAATGGAAATATTGTAGCACGCAAATCTGTAATCCATCTCGTGTGTCTCCCCGGGGCTGAAACGTTCAGAAAGCTAAAAACCAAGGATAAGACTCGGATTTATTCCAGGGCATAAATTCTGTGCAACCAAAATAACTTTTAGACAATGATCGCTAGATTACTAAGTCGTACATCTACTTCAAGTGGCCGTTTCAAAATAGTGAACAACGGATTCATTTTTACTGAGCCAGACTTTTGCTCTACGATGGATGAATAACTGGTGTGTGTTTGGTTTGATATTTTTTCAACCCCGTTCTGCCAACCTAATTAAATTATCAGTTCACCTTTCATTTAAATCAATGGAAATACTGTGAGAACTGGGGATGGTGCAGAACGAAGATTTATAATGATCCAAGTCAGAATGAGATCATATTTAACTTCTGTTTCACTAAGGCGGATATCTAGTTGAACAGAACTGTTGCATTCAGTAAAATCTGTTGGAAAGGAATGAGAGTAGTTTTCAGTAGTTGGCTTCCAACTGATACAAGTGTACGTATGAGGTTATAAAATGAGGCAATATTATGCTGTGTGTGTATCTAACATGTTCGGCAAGTAGACAACACACGGAGAGATAAAACAAAAGTAGTGAGGAGACGAAAATAATAATGCATTAAACGAGATCAATTAAAACATTTAAATTTCAATTGAATGAAATAGGCATGAAAGTTTGAATAGGAAACCGATGTCGGAAAGTAGATCTTTGGCGGCAAATATAAATGCTTCCTATGGTCATGATTATATCGGTATTTGGTCCAAGGTAAGTGCTACTGGGACTTGGGTACAGAAATCACACATCACGTATGACGATCCTCTGGTACGTTCTGAAATGATACCAATAGGTACGCGTTACCACCGACACTAGGTCGAATCGCTCGCTGTCAGACACGCTCTTAAAGGGAGAACACAACTGTCGCGCATGAGCGTATATTGAAGCGCAGAACGCAAGGCAGAAAGCTATGTACATGCTGTATCTGGGAAGCGGGTGGGGGTGTGAGGTACACAAGGTTCATATCGCTTATCGGTTCTCATGTATTTCCTGACGCTGTTCTGTTTGTTCGTTATTAGTGTTCGCCGTATTCAACCATTGTGCACCTGAAAAGAACAGGGAAGGTTAGACAAGTACTGGTACTGTACACATCTCCGGCCATTTGGGTTGAAATGCCGTTACACTACTTCGGCTGTATAATACTGTTTTTCATGAAATGTCCGATAATCAGAATGTTCTTATTGATTTCTTCGGTATGGATTCTCAGTGTGAGTGCCCATCTAGTGCACACTATCTGTGGATTAATTCTGTACTCAACTGCTTCGTGGTTGTTGCTGGATTGAGCTATTTATACCTCAAACTGACCTCCTCACGTTCAGTTTACAAGAACTAGTTATACCTCATTGCTCGTAAAACTACCATCACTCACAGATTATTCGTTCTTGAATTTGATGCATTAAATTTTCTTCTTTGTGATGCTTTTCTGTCAAGAAATTGATAATCATCTACCATTCATTATTTTTCATCTCATGTTATTGACTCATTCAGTGCGATAACACTTTGGACAACAAACCCCGCTCACATGCGACGTCCACCATACCGTTACGTTCAAATGAACTGAAGTCGCACAAATCGACACAAACCGTCGAACTGACAGAACGACACAGCGGACAAGATCGTAGATCTTTTTGGACAAATCGCGCGAACCTGACATTGCGGCATCACGGTGATCATTTCAATCACATGTCACCATCAACCACGCTCCTGGTATCGGACACAATTNTTCTCTGGGCTCAATGCTCCAAGAACGAGAACGAGGAACGATGGAATTTTTAAATATGAGTCTTATGAAACTGGTCTATGCACTCAAATATGAGCTGGAATGCAGCCAAACCGAATTGAGGTTCGCCAAATCGAACAGCAGATCGTCCTGTGGAAACAGGCCGAATGGTACATTCAAATACCCAGACAGACACTGAATCATTTATCGTCTATGTCCACTCTGTGGTGCGAATATTGGGCATTTATTTTCCGCGTTGATCCAGTAAAATGCCTTTAACCAGTAGTTCAGAAAATATCACAAAAGTGAATAGAATTTCGTAAGCCGTTTCCTTAAGATTGGGTGATGCTTCGACGTTTCATGCGAATAGATGATTTGCATTTCAGTAAACTGGATTCAGTAACGCTTGTGTATATCAACGTAATGTTATGACAAATTATTAACTTGTATCATTTATCCCCGCCTTTATAGAGTTTTGGTCAATTGAACGGTGTGGAAATTACTTCATTCACGATTTGCTCTTCTCGGCAGTTATTATTCTCCACTGCTAAGGTCAGAGACTTTGCACATTTCTCAGAACTAATGAAGCATACAGTGCTCGACGAAAGCATAATCCCCCCCCCAACGCCTCACTTTTCACCCATCTGCCCCCTGGCAGAAACTCTACTTGCGAAGGCACACCGAATACACCAACAAGGTGGTGTAGCGAATTTCTAAACGAAACCATATGCGAAATGATAACCGCAACGGAAAATGTCACGTGAACGGAGTGGAGAATGACACAAATTGTCCTGTTGTATTCCGGTCTGCGGTTTACAAAATAAGACAGATCACTGAGTCTGGCATTAAGATGATTAGTTTGGTCTTTGGATATGATGTCTCACGTAATCGTGACACTCAAATTCACATGATTCACACGTTTACTATACAGCACGTGATGTACCCCAGTTGTCAATCTTCTCTGTATGAAATCCATTCACCTAATAGAAGTCAAATCGAACTTGAGCAGTGCAGAGAGACTCAGGTTGAATGAAATCGCCATTTAATGCAATCAATGGGAAACAGTATCCGGGATATAAGTAGCAACTGACGCATGAAGAGCGAATGCGTCGTCTCTGAAGACTGAAACAATCAGAAAGATCTAGATTACATCATCTCTACTCCGGCCTCTCATGTTCCATATCGATTTGAAAGTGCTGATCAGTACTGACCAATGTTTTCATGCAAACTTTATAAAGAAAGCCCGCTACAGTATCGTGGGTGGAATAGAAAAAGTAAAAAGTTCTGTTGTTCTTAGAGTGTCAAGCTTGGATTGGCCCATTCGATTGTTCAGAGGCACCAGGCACTCAGGATGGTCTTGGGTGTGAGTTTGACTTCCTAGGAGATCGGTAATTCTCCACGAGACAATTCATTCAAATGTTTGTGATAAGCAACAATCGCAGTTCGCGGTTGATCGCGATTCGCGTCCTGACCGGGATAAAAACGTACACAATGCTGACGAGTCCCAAACAGGACGAAATTGCTGTCCAATGCTCTTTTTTGGTTATCACAAACGTTTCTGCTGTTCTTGCTTTTCCGGTTCATAAATCGCTTGCAGTGCGGACGAACAAGTCGAAAAGCGTCTGCTGCCGTGACGAACAAGGACTAATTTAGCTAATCAGGGTACTCGCTTTTATCGCTGGCGTGATAGTATATAGTAAAATAAACAATCATTCATCGTAAAAAGAATCTCAATGTTGATTTAAAGAACCTTCTCAGTCAAAGACCAAAGTAAGCTGCTATCAAATGGGGTATTACGCTATTGGAGTGCGTACATTTGTACCCTGGAAACAGATTCTGCGAACGCAAATGAGCAGCAGATTACAAAATTAAGCCATATTCAAATAGGATAACATTGCTGATTACCGTTCATGCACAACCAAACGTCGGATGTAGTTGCACTGAACCAAAGCCATGCCGTGTCCATTATATAGCCCAACTCGTTGTAGAATTTTCGGAGCTTAACAGGATGAGAAATGTCCAATGATTCCATGATTTTCCATCCAAAGAATGCATTTCTAACACCTCTTAGATACGAATAAGTGAATAGCTTTATCCCAAAAGACAATCACAGGCCTTGTAGGAAGTGTACGGACAGGATACACTTTCTTCTCTAATCTTCACATGGTACATAATTTCGGTTATAAATTCTGTATGATTTATCGTATAGTATGCTCTGTTAATTGGTTCGATAGTGCCGAAGCGTATATTTGCAGGAAAATGAAGGGGACCTTCACTCATAATCAATAAGTTACCCACTCAAGTATACATTTGGGAAGTACCATAGACTTGAGTTTCGCTTTATTTCACGTGCAAAAGTGATGTGTACGTACCGGCCCGTTCGAGATCCGAGTTCCGGACCCATAGTGACATGGAGAGTGCACGCTCGATCTCCGCTTAAATCGCCACTGAGAACATTTAGCAATGCATGTTTTTCAAATGCAAACTATTACCATAATGTATACTGTACATCCCTTTGTTGTTGTTGTTGTTGTTTTGGTGGTGGTGGTGGCGGTGTTGTGGTTGTGATTGTTGCTTTTTGTTTTTGGGTCAAAACAAATGATCAACTATCATTGAAGATGCGTATGGACAAATATGATCTGATTATTCTGTTCAGAACTAGAATAAGCTGGTTGACACAGCTGTGGTAAAACAAACTTCCATATGCAAGATCCCAATACAATTGATGTGCACTACTGATGAAATTTAATTAGGTACAAACTCGAGTCTTGTGGTTTCTGTGTGTCTGGTTGATTTGATGAATTGAGGAATCTGCGTAGAGGAGAAATCTGCTTGGGTGATTAGTCCAAATACAACTCAGTTTGACTTGCTATTCAATTAATGTTATTCGGCAACTTGAATTATTGTTTTGAATTATCCCACTGCAGTACTAAAAATTAAGTGTGAGTTCAATGCGGAGTTTTAAAATTGCCGAAATGTACCATTTACCACATTCGAAAAACAGTTCGGGTGCCCGTCAAGTCATTTTCACTCATTCATCCACTACCTGAATCATAATGCGTGGCAGGAAAAGATTCATTACAGAATCGGAAAAAAAATCACACCGGATGTTGCTCACACATCTGCTCATCGCACATGCGCATTGGTTGGGGTCCCTGGGAAATCTGAGAGGGTATAATTTGGTGATAGCTATCAGAGACCGAATCTTCTTATGAACGGTTTGGAGGAAAAGAGGTGAAAGAAGGATTATGTAACGGACTCCAGTCACTTCCATTGACACCAAGATGCGAATTCCAATCCTCAGATAGATGACGGCAAAGTAAATTGAGGGTGAAAAATGCTTCGGTAACAGTAACCACGTAATTTGATTAGACAGTGTATGAAACAGTCCAAATATTGACCGATGAAATTACTCTACTATTCAAGCAACCCCAGTAAGGCTTGTGGGCTCACTTATATGAAGGTTTGACCGTTCTGTCAATAGGCCTTTTCCCATAGAAACATGTGAATAAGGAAAACTAACCTTGAAACAACTGTTTTCCTTTAATTTATTTTCTGGCCGTTTACTAATGACATAGATCAGTTTTTAGAAAACAGATTAGGCTTAACATCAATCATGTGTAAGTGTTTACCATGGTCTATTTGCTTTTGCCATTTTATTGATTTTACTTGCTCCCAGTCTCGGGCTCATTGGACGGTTAACTAATTTTATCCCGCTTCATCACCAGCTATGGAAGTGTGACTGAACCTAACAACTTGCAGCAAAGAGGTCAAGATTCAAATTCCTTATTCTCGGCCATTGTTATAATGTGCAGTTAAACAACCTTGCATTTTTGTTCGGGGGAATTACCAAGCAACTGTGGAGGCTCACATTTGACTCAGTTACTTTTCAGTAGTGATGTGAGATATCAATATTCAGTTGATGTAACCATCCTTCAAACTTCACCTTCAAGCACAATCCTCAGTTCCTCTATCAGTGAGCTGACTGACTGATTATTACTGAAGCTGACACCCGAAATTCGGTTCAACCCTGGTTTGAGCTGGTTGACACAGTGGTAACATGCGATGGACTCAGGTTTCAATCTTATTAGAGCTCATCTGTAGTAGTGCATATCCACCGTCCCGACAAGGATTTGAACTGCGGATCCATCGCATGAAAGGTGTGTCTGTTACCACTGTGCTAGACAGCTCACATCAGAGCTGAACCGAATTTCTAACTCATATTTGTTCGGGAGTCGTCTTCAGTCATAGTCAGTCAGTTCATTGTTGACCTGATAGAGGAACTTAGGATTGTGCGTAAAAGTTAATTCTGAAATGTGGTCGGCTAAACTCGACCCTGAAAGCCACGTTCGGATCAACTTTATTCCCGTTATCGACCGCTTGTGCTTGGGTTGCATTGCTTATCGATCCGGTTCAAGCTGGTCCTAACCAGCGTGGGTGATGTTCCATAACCAGACTACATAGTTATTGTCTTTTGATCAAAACAGAATGCGTTTAAAACCCATATGACAAACATTGATAAGGTCAGTCAGCATCGACAAACAGAATGTACCAAGTAGTGCGCCCCATTATTTCTAATTGACAATGAAAAGCAAACAACATATCCATCAATAGAGACCCTAGACAAGCCCTTTTCTGGAGAATAATACATCAGAAATTTCATGGCCTTTTTGAAAATGCATCACAATGTTTGAATCCTATGTTTACAAACTTACCCACGCTCCTCTCCAGAAAAAGGGAGGTAGCATGTAGAAGAAAGGGAGTGAGCTATTCTGCTCTTGCAATGTGAAATTCATTTTTTAAAGTTCTATTTATTCTGCCCAGTCAGTGTAAATCACAACTGATTTCCATGTAGAAAACAAAACAGTTCATAAAGAAAGCATTACGGAAGGTCATTTCCTGATGGTGACTTGGCAAACACGGTTGGCGCGAATCCACGGGAACATCATACACACCTAAATTGTAATAGTACATTTACAATAAGTTTCATATCCTGTTGATATTGTAACCATGTGAACGAGAAACCAAATCGTAAACAACCGATTGTGTATCGGAT